TCTATTTTAGTTTTCTAGTTGTTTAAATAAATGTTGTGTTATTTATTATTATTAAAAACATTAGATGTAAAGCCTTTAAGCTGTTATCCTTCGTAGCTAGGAAAAGCTTGTAAAGCGATTTTGCCTTTTAGCCAAATTTGATGGGTTTTGAGCCAGCAAGGGCTAGGCATGTGGCCGGGGGTCTTAAAACATTTCAACTGCAATTGCCTGGTGGGGCTTGAAATGAAAAGCAGGCAACCGCCGTGCGGGACTTGAAATATGCCTGACCAGAGGGTGGGTAGAGGTAGACGGTGAGATCAAAAGCGTATGGGTCTATTTGCATACATTGATATTATATAAGAGCCAAAAGAACAGCAGCAGCAGCAGCAGCAATAATAATACGAGCTGTAATAAGCCTTTTTGGCAAAAGTTGTTTGTTTAATGCCCAAGCTCCTTGAAGCGGCTAACAACATTTGAATAAATATTTCAAAACGTTTCTGCCAGGCCTGCGGCCAGTTACCTGTGCAGCATATTGAATGAGTATTTCAACGAACTGTGCAAACACACACACATACACACACATATATATAAGCGCACCTACAATTGAATTACCTGAAAATTGACTGGTTGTAAAACTGTCTCGAACTGTGAGCCGATGTGGTTTTTGGGTTTATTTGGCAAACGCGCATTTCGCTTGCCAAATCCATCATCATCCTGCAGCGAGCTGAAAGCGTGCCACCAAATGCAAACAAACGCTGTGTAGCACAGTGTAAGCGCCGTCATGGCTACCGAGTGCTACCACAAATTGCAATTAGTGTCCCACTGTTGATTGATAGTCGCGGATAAATTTCTCGCTGTTTGACATGTTGAGAAATTTAAAACCATATAGTGGATTATATATGTAGAAATATGTAGATATATATAGACATAATTATATAGCAATCGAGATAGTGTCGCTTAACAGTTTATCAAAGTTTAATGGCTTGTCACAATTAAAGAACTACTCAATAATAAAAATATTTATAAATACTCTTAATTAATTGTAATACTAAATTATAATAATAAATAAAAGCAGAGAGCTTTGAGGACTTATTGGTTCATGCATAAATCAATATATAAATAGCTTTAGAAGTACATAAAATCCTCTTCACAAAGTATTTGAAATAAGCTGCTGAACAGATTAATTATTAAAAAAACGTTTGTTTTCTTTGAATTAAAAACAATAATAATTCCAAAACATATAGCGATTAAGGTGATTGGAATATTTTAGCTAAGGGCGTTAGATTCACATATGAATATTAGTTTAGTTCTTTATACAAGATATTCAGTTCTATAAAAGCTCTTAGAATGCAAACAGGAATATCGCAGAGAAGAGCTTTAAATATATTTATAATTTCAATTTATTATTAAATATTATAATTATTAGCATTATTATTATTGTCATTTTTATTGATGTCAAACTGCATATCCAACGAGCTAAAAGTATATATTAAATTAAAAACGAAGAGCTTCCATTCACATAAAAAGCTTTCATGAATGCATTTTCTAAATAAATATGCTTTCTAAAATACATTAAAGCGTAGACAAATAGCATTGAGGAGCTTTTGTGCAAAGCTACTGCGCTTTTAAAGCACATTAAAGCTACCTAAGAGCAGTGCTTGCATAAGAATGAAATGGTTAAACTACTTTGAGATAAATGTCAAATATTTAGTAGAGCTTATAGGCCACTGGCTTCACAGTGAACTTGTTTCTCAACTAGATGCATTGAAGTTGACCTAATTACGAAGCCAATTAAAGGCCAAATTAGTCAGATGCACAAGCCACTTTGAATTATGTTTAGCCAGCTGCCCAATTAAGTGAACTACATTTGCAAATACACATACGCAGACACGCATCGTAGGTATGTGTAATATCTACGGACTAACTGATCCAAAAAGCGATACTAACATTATTCAATTAAACAAAATATTTCTATGGGGAATTGTTTAATAGCAAATTCAAAAGCAAATGCAAATATAAAGTTGTTGGCCAACAATTGGCTCATTATATCGTCCGTATATGTATATGTACTTATATATATATATATATATATACCTCTGTCAACAAAATTTGAGCAGCATAAAACACTAATGCTATTAATTTTCTGGTTTCATGTTTCAGTTCCTGCGGCGAGTTCGCCTAATTTTGTGGGCAGCAAAATAATTTGTCAAACGAAAATATGTGAAATAAATGTCAAATATGCTTATATCTAATATAAACGCATTGCCTATTTATTTATAATTATAGCTTAATCATTTTGGTTGCCACTGCATGTTAGAATTAATAGTGGCTTATGAAATGCGGTCAAAAGTTAAAATCTGTCTTAGTACTTTTGAGGCTTTTGTTATTATTTAGGTAGCTTGAACAAGCTGGCTTTTAGTCTGTAGAAACACCTTTAATTTATTGAATTTATTGTTATTAAACCCAAATATTTCTGTATATGTCTAGAATTATTTATAAGAAATGCTAAATGAATATATTGCATAATAGAAGAAGCTATAAATTGATGACAACTTTATTATTTCGTTTACAATATTTGCATATAATTTTAAAATTTAATTGCCATAACTATCGTTAGCTAATATATCGCACTGATCGATCAGCTAGAGATGACAACTAATAACACTATCGTATAAATATCGTTTGAATCTAAACTAATATGTAAAAAGTGGAGAAATTCTGTTTCTTCCAGCGTTGCCTCATTATTAGAATTAAAAATTCAAAATTACTCAGAGATGGCTAAAAATTCTGTTATGAATATTAAATGTGCTGATATTTGAAATGGTAAACACAATTTTGTTATTGTTCTAATGCAATCAAAGTTGTAAATAGGTTCAAAGAGGCAAAATTATGGCTTATTGAAATTTATATACAAATTAAATGAAAATGAATATGCCAAATTTATTTCCAAGCTTACAAATACACAAAATATAAATAAATATATTTACATATGCAGCTCGCATCTACTTACATGAAATACATATTAAATGAATAAATATCTTTACGCATTTTGCAATGCATATAGATTTATTGCTGGGCATTTATAAATATTTTTAACAATTAATCAATATGAGAAGTTGCGAAGAGCGCCACAGATAATACCAATAAAATTTAACAACCGCCTGTAATCAAGAGCGAAATAAAAGCAAAGCAAAAACTTTTGGACACCAAAATGGATGCAAGTGAAATGCTAGTAATGTGTGTGAGTGTATCTCTGTGTGTGTGTGTGTGTGTGTGTGTGTGTGTGTGTATGTGTGTCCACTTTTCCTGTCCGTGCGCGGCCATAAAGCAGCTCGTAAATTTCAGCACACTTGGCACATGCGGAACAGTTGCCCAGTGTGGCCCAGCTGCTGGCTTGTCTTCGCCTTTTGGCGTACTGCAAATCCAGCGCCAGAGTTGCCACCCGGCGCGTGGTTTTTTCATGTTTTGTCTGTGCCCTTTACGTGCGCTGTCTGCTCTGTCCGGTTTTTGTTGCCATTGTAGTTTGAATTCTTTTCTTTCTTTGGGTTTTCATTTCTTTTTGTTTTGTTTTTTTTTTCACTTGACGCTGAACAATGAAAATTCACGCTGTACGATTTTTCGCGTTTGCTGTGATACGCTTACAGTGCGCACCCTGAATGTGTGACACCTTATGCAACGTCTTCTATATGGAGTGCTGCGAAAGGGTATTCGAGTTTCGTTCTGCTACGTTTTGCGCGGGTTTTTCCATTTCTTGTTGCTGCGGTCCAATTCGCTGTATATTACGCAAATCCTTAGTTACGCCTTCGCTCGCCATATCCTGGCTGCATCCCAGTCACAGGCCACGGGTCACGGGTCACAGTTTCTCTGAGTGTATGTGTGTGTATGGCGGGTGTTGAACAAAAGCTGTGAAATAATCACTTGCTTGTTTGCACTTTATTAAGTGGCAACACGAGTCGGCATGTTCGCTGTGTCGAGCAGCCTGTAACGCTTCAGGTATCCAAACTAGACTAGGAGAGAAGAGCATAGGGCACAGAGAAAAACCCCGAAACACGAGTGTGATACTTGAATGTTTTGCAACACTAAATGTTTTGAGTGCTTTTCATACAACTTAAGATTTCATAAGAGTATAAGAGCTCGAGTAAATTAAATTAGAAATATAAAAATGCTCTTGAATAGCGTAACAAAATGTTCATTAATTTGTTCTTTAGAAATTTACAATAATAAATTCTATTTATAATAATAAGGTATATTTATTAATAGACTGGAAATATTTTATAACAATTTTTTTGTAGGGTAGAAAAAAATACTAAATAATGCTTCACATATTGAAGTTGAAGCTTAAGTTAGATGTGCAGCATTTGATTGGAAGAAGAATTAGATATTATCCATGAATTATTTATATGCTTAATATATTTTTAGATGTATATTCTGTGTAAGCTAGTTCCTGGGCTGCTCACATACTGCAATAATTTGATAACAAGTTTCGTATTACAGTTGCAGAGAACGATCAGATTGAACATCTTAATTCTTATAGCTAACATAATTAAATACTTCACGAACCAATATAAAAAGTTTCTTTGTTTTTAAAATATTCTTTTAAAAAAATCTATAATTAACATATATCTAAAATATTTGGTCCAGCAGCCAAAGCAGCTGATCCATTCAAGATGTTTTCAAAATTTTAATGTCATATAAGCCATTCCAAAACAGAAGATTTTTGTCATCTCTTAATTTTTTATGTTATATTATATGTTTGTGATAGCAATAAAAATGATTATAAGAAATTCGATTTTACTTCACTTCTTAAGCCCTTTGTCTACAAGAGTATTTAATATTTGCCGTGTGTTAGATGCTGGATCTTCCGTTTGCATATCAATAAATTAAAGTGCATTAATCAAGCAAAGTAAAGGCAATTAAAGTAAGAAGTTAAGCATAGTTTAATTTTTCGCATAAACTTTAGTGAGCTTCCATCACTTAAATTTCATTAAATTATTTATTATTATTTAAAAAATAATATTTGCTTAATCATAAAACTTTTCGGCAATATTCAATTGCTTGACGAAGGTGACGACAGAAAATGCCAATTTGGCGACCTGCCAAGAGACAAAACAATTGGAAAAATATAAATAGAAGTCACTGGAATACCCCTACTCACAGTTATGTTCGAGCCCATGGATATAATAAAAATGCCTCCGGCTGTCAAAATAATCGGCTTCTGCACATTGTGTAGGAAATAACGAAGTGTGATCTTATACTGACGATTCGCAGTCAGCCAATTGGAGTGAAAGAGACTGTTGGCCAGCTCGTAGCAGTCGTCGGAGATCATATTGCAGATATAGCAAAAGGGAAACGTCTGCAGTACCAAATCACACATGAATATGGCAGTGCTCAAGCCGGTCCAGAAGTTGGAGAAAAATATAATATTGATCATGGACAGGCCCATGACAACGCCGCAGAGCAGAAACTGTACGAAAATTGTGCCGGAGACAACGGGTCGTAGGGTATTGCAGTAGCTGTGGGAAGAGAGGGAGTTATAGTATATATACTAGTATATATACTACCGCTATGCTTACTCCAATATCAAACGATGATCCTCAATGCATTTGATCAGCTCCACATAGTTCTCGTCCTCAGTCATGCTCCCATCAGTGCGTAGCTTGCTCAGTCGCTCTTTGAGGAATGTTATGTGAGTTCGGATGGTTAAGAAATATATAATCGGATAGACGTCGGCCATCAGATCCTGCAGCACAGCGCCTGTCATCCACAAAAATTCCACAATTCCCGCTAGCCAAAAGCTGATTAAATTTTTCTCCGCATCGATCAGCGGGTTGTAGAGATTCCAGGCCAGACGACCGATAAGCATGCTCGCGATAAATGTGGAGCACGAGTAGAGCAGATACATCGTATTGTATGCCAAATATATTTGATTGCAACGTGTTGCGGTCTTTTGCAGCTGGATGCGCTCCTCCGTGCTGCCGCAACGTTCGTCCAAGCGATCCAGTATCTTTTTAGCCTGCTTGAAGCGCTTGAGACCGGCAAAGGTGTAGCTGGCCTTGACGCTGGAGCCAAAGCAATTGAAGGCCACCTGCAGCGAGGTTAGAAACTGTCCGGCCGTAAAGCTGCTCAGCTCACTGTAGCTAATCAGCAGTGAGACGTCCAGCAATATCATGAAAAAGACTGTCGTAAACACTGTCCAGACGCGATAGATCCAACGTCCATAGGCATTTTTTGGTGGCATCCAGCCAACCACGCTCATGCCACGATCCACATAGATGAATGCATCGCGGGACTGCACGGGCGACGAGGCGTCGGGCAGGCGCAAACGAGGGAATAGTCTGAAGAGCATGTTCTATCTGGTTTGGATGTGGCGATGACTTGTCCAATGTGGCACTGCAAGCGCTTTTATATGTGAAAGACTGCAAATACCCTGTATTTATAAAAAGTGAAGGGTGTTTGTGGGCAAAAGAATGTGGGAGAATGATTGATCTTCGACAAAGATACTTAAGTGTATATTTATATTTTTATATATTTAACTGGACGTGCTTGTTCTCTCATATGCATAAACATTAATAATATATAAAATTAATATATATATATTATATTATTATATTATATATATAATATTATTTTTTATACTGCTGTCTAAAACTTAATGAGGGTACTTTCTAGTCAAGCACTGCCAGCTGAAGTTCTCTTGAATATTTCAGATTCCAGCCTTTTTTTTTTGTTTAAATAAGGAACGTTTAGGTGAAACCTTTGAAGGGCTTATAGGGTATTTGCCAGTCGATCACTTTATATTAGAACATTTCACTTTTTATTTGAATAGATATTTCCTTAACACATTTCTTTATTTTTCGTCTGAATTATGCATCACAAGTTTGAGGTAATAGAATTTTTTTGCCTGCATTATTTAACAGGAAAATTCGTAAGAATAATTTAAGTTCTGTATTGACCCTTAGAAAGGAAAATTTCTGAAAGTTTTCCAATTAGTTTTTCTAAAGTTTATGTAACTTTTTTCTTTTTTCTTTTGATTTTACTCTGATGAGCAATTAATTTATTATGAAAGATACAAAAGTATGGATCGTTCGCACTCGAAGATACATTAAAGTTGAACACAATTTCTATTATTTGTTCTATTTAAAAGAGTGCAATAAAATATTTTGCCATGCTCGCAGATTTCATAGTCCATTTTTTCACTTTCATCTACTCTTCTCTTTGAACATTGAGCAAATGAATTATCTTTTATTAACTAATATTGGATTGCCATTGAATGCACTGAGCAAAGCGTAAAGCGAAAAGCAAAAATATAGCATCGATTCCACAATGTCAGCATTGCAGTCTCATCAAAGAGCTTTTGTTTGGTCTGAAAGTCGGTCCATTTGGCTGAGTTATTTGTTTGGTATTTGAAAAACGCGGCACACGCGGCGTATGAACTATTTTCTTAAGCTACGAGCCGCCGAGCAGCAGGAGCCAAAAAGGCAGCGACAGCTTGAACTTTTCAAGGATCTTTTCGTCTCTCTCTCTCTCTATGTGTGTGTGAGATATGTGTGTCCTATTATGTATCACAGACTCTGTTCTTATGCTGCCCTCTTATTGAAAGCAACTGTGAGTTATTTTTATAGAGCTACTTTATATATGTAAGAGTGTGTACATGTGTGTGTGAGTGCATGTGTGTGTGTTTTCTTGTGTGTCCTTTCCGCAGCTAAGTCCTTAGAATATAAATAGAAGAAATGCGCTGTCAACTTGGCCGAAGGTTTATTTATATGACCAGCCATTAAAAGCAATGCGCCTTGATTATCTTTTGTATACACTTACAAAGTGTGTCATCACCCATATATATACATATAGAGTATTTGAAAGTTATATATAGATAATTGCGTGAAAAGCATTGACTTTCGGAAAAGCTGCTGGTCACTGCCTTACGAAAGCTTTAGTATGACTTTTTAATACAATCAGTTCAGCTGCTAGTTTTAATGTGCTTTTTTAAGAAGTGCATTTATCAGTGCATTTGTGTCTCATATAAAGTTAGAAAATATGTAACTTATTAGTAAAAGCTCATGAACGTTTTTGACTTTTTAATGATTAATAAACTATAAAGCATTTTAGTAGCTTCACATAAATGTATTTAAAGATTTCTGATATAACTTTAAAAATATCTTTTACTTAATTTTTAAAAGCACTTTAAAACTCTTTTTCTATAAGCTTTAAATTAAGTTTAAATGAATGAATGTTAATCCACTTCGAATGCTTCTTGACAAGCCGTATTTCAAAACATAAATATTTAATCAGCTTTTTTTTTGTATATTAGAAAACACAGAAAAAGTTTTACATATATTACGTGAAACAAAAAAGCTTCCGCTCCAGCTTTCAAAGGCTTTCAAAGTCTTTTATGCAAATGCTTTTACTGTTAGTGCTGTATAAGACTTTGTATAAGTCTTTCATATTAATTCGCTTCCGTCAAGCGAAATTCCAATTGCTTTTTGCTTTGTTGCCATTTTTTGTTGTTGCTAATTTATTTTGCTGTTTATCTAATTTATTGCTCGTTGGCAATCAAATAATTCAAGTGCTGCAATCTAGAAAAATTACACGCTCATACTGCATGCAGCCATCAATTTTAGTTTTTGTTTTAATTAAAGAGCAGAAGCAACAGGGGAACCTAGAAAGGTCGAGCTGCTGCTGCTGCTGATGCTGCTGCAACATTTGCCAAATACACAGACATAAATCAAGCAAACGAGATGGCATTCGCAGTCTGCTCGCAATCATTGGACATGGCACATGAATGGTGAATGGTGAATGGTGGATGGAAGTGGACACGCTGCAGTTTTGATGTGATCCAACGGCAGCTGGCGTTCTGTATTTCCAGCTATGCGTATGGCACCGTAGTGGGAAGCCTGGGCAAACCTTCAGACAAAAAACTAACGAGCATCAGTGTAAACTGTCTCGTCGCCTTCTCATTAAACTTGCAACTAAAATGAGCCAAAAAAGAGCAGAACGGAATGGCGGCCATCTAGCATATTAGCTCTGCTGCACTTATTGTAGCTGTGCTGTGGGCGGCGCCCCTCTCCGCCTCTCTCTGCGCTTCCCAACTACTGATTTGCCATGTCAACTTTTCGCTCAGACTACAAATTAGTTGAGAGTTTTTGTACATGCAATTGCATACTTTGAGGCGTCTGCGATTTACGAATGCTCTGCGTGAAATTTGAAACTAATTTGGCAACTGCAAGAGTGCCAGAGTAGCTAATTAATGTAGGTAGATCTGAAAACTTGGGTGTCAATAGCAGAAAAGCTACAAATGTTGTGGAAGGACTTCATATTTATATAAAGCAAATATGTAGAATAATTGGTTAAAAATGAAGTAAAAACATTATAAATATATAAACAAAAATATTTATAAAATTACAAAACATTACATTTTTTTTTAAATTTTCTTAAAATAATTCAAGTTTTTTAACTTTTTTCTCTGTATAAAAAAATTAAGTTAGCATATTTAATTTAAAATCGATTATTAAATTATATTTGAAAAAAAACGAATTCAGAAAATTATTTATGTATTATAGTTGAATCTGTTTTCTCGGCCATTATTTTTTTTTCAATTATTTTCTAATATTAAAAATTGGTTTGAAGTATAGAAAAATAAATTTTAAATACTTATAATTTTTTTTTAAATTAAATATAATATATTTATTAACAAATTATATATTTATTAATTTCAATGATTCAAAATAAACTAAGTGAGGTAATTTTTTTTGACTTTTTAAGTTATCAATTTATTTTCGGTTCATTATACAAAAAAAAATATTTTTATACAATTTTCATTAATTAAAGACATGCTTTAGCAATTACAACCTTTTAAACACCCTATGAACTTTCCGATCGTGCTTTCATACAGCGTAAAACAAACTGTGAAAAGTTCACCAGAACTTTTATTGCTACGCATAGTTGGGAGCACTGTCATTGTCTAAGGCGCGGTTCGCAGCGCCAAAAAGAATGCAACACAATGCATTTAGAAATCGCATTGGGCCTTCCGCGTAGGCAGCCCCTCGCTCCAAGCTCTCTCTTGTGTTGCCGGAGGAAACTTTTGCAACATTTATCTTCGTTATTATGACGCCCGAATGGGCTATCAGCGCCAAGTGGAGCGACTGTTAAATATTTGGAGAACGGCGACAGTTGCAAACAGAATGCGTTCTGGCCCTAATGCGGGTCTGGCTAAGCTCTAGAACTCCTCTGTCAAAAAATGCTACAACTTGTCTTACACCAAATGCAGAAGACGGCGAAGGGAGGGGGAGAGGGTAGTCGAAAATGGGAAATATCTACCAGGACAGGACAGAACAGAACAGAACAGGACGTTGCATTCGGCGCCCAGTCAGTCTCTGGCTGAGGGAAGGAAATGGTAACTTTTTCCTGCACTTAATTAGTTTGGGCATAAGTGGAGCAGAAAAAGTTTTGCGCCATGTTCCACAAAAGCAGCAAAGGACGCAGGACGATGGACAAAGAGGAAACGGGAGCAACAGAAGCAACAGTCAACGGCGAGCCAAGGCAAGGCAAACCAAGGCGAGTCGAGTCGAGTCGAGGCGATGTCTCCGTTGCCAACAGTTTGTCATCTGTATCTGTGTGCATCCCCTGTGTATGCGTGTGTGTGATTGTGTGTGCGTGCGTGTGTGTTGCCAAGGAAATTGCCTCATAAATGTTCATTACACAGTTGCCTGCAAAAATGTCAAATGAATGGGCCGCTATGCTAGTGGGCGTGGCTACTCAACAACTCAAGCCGCACAGCCAACAAACATTATTGCAGCAAATCATTTTTCACAGATTTATGGAATGCACTTCAAATGCGAGAATAGAATGTAAATAATAACTTAATAGCAATTTATGTGACGTGGCCAATAGCTACATGGACAAAAATTTATATAAACAACAACTGTATAAAAGGAATTTATGATGTAAATGATAAACTTATAAATATAATAGAATATAACATAAATATTTCAACAGCTGTTCGAGTTATCGATAAGTTTAGTAAACATGAAATATTTATGATTTGCTTAAATAATTACATAAATATTAAATAGATTTATACAATATTGAGCTTTACACTTGAAGTATTTTGAAATCTATTTAGCAAAAGAATTTATCGATATTAAATAACAGTCGATATTGCTATCGATATATTGCTGAATGCCATAGACAATATAGCTTCAGATTGTTAGGCAACTATATAGTTTTTTATAGTCGTCATTAAAGTCATATAGAGTCCATATAGGTAGGTACAGACTTGTTCATAAAAATAGTAGTGCGACTGAGCACTCAATATTAGACAGCAGAATTGTGTGATAACACAATATTTTG